GGTGGTTGCAAATGGAGAGTGATCAACAGATCAACGTCATGTGCCTAACAAAAAAACATTTAATAGAACTTAACAGTCATTCACTAAAAAATCATCAAAACTTGTTTATTTAAAGAAATACAATATCTAAAATTTGACTGATCAATAGAGAAATGGAAACACTATTTTCCCCACAGCAATAAAATATCTTGTTTGACCGCTAGACATATGAAGGTGATCTATGCGCAGAACAGTCCCAAGTATGCATCACTTTAACCATCTAGGAAGGCCTGTATAAGTTCCAAGAGAGCACAAAAAGGATAGAAAAAACCCACCTTCTCTGCCTCCTTCCACAGAGTGTCCAGGGTACTGAACTCCTCATTGATCTTGTTCAGAGCAGCTTCCTTTGTGACCTCAGCCGACTTCATATCAGTCCGCTCCTCCTTCAGGAAGTCGAACATGGCATCCAGATCCATATTGGAGGCCGAGACAGCTGGCTGGCAGTGGGTCCACATGGACTCAATCAGGTGAGTCAACGACTCCAGCTCCAACTGTGACTGCCTGTAGGGTCAGAGGGCAAAGGTCAAAGGTAAAGAGGCAATGTACAAGTCAAACTAAATAGAAAAATTAGTAACAATAGAATACACCACAAGCAATCAGGAATCTTATTAAATCATGAGAGTGAACGAGAATAAAATACTGAAACAAATATTAACACCAGCATGATTCTGTCTCTGCAAATATTGTATGAAAACAAATGGCAACTTAAAAGACTTACCAGTGAGGTCCTTCAATAATTCTTGTCATTCTTCAACTATTGAGATATAAGCCATTTTCTGAACAATTTTTCTTTGTATGCACATCAGAATCTATCCCATTACACTTCTCTAGGACCATCAAAGATCCCACTGGCATGTTTTACAGAAAATCTTATGACAATAATCGGTGGGGGGGGGTTTTAATTCATCATCTAAAAACTGTTGAGTCGAAGTCATTTAGTCATAAATCTGACATATACAATTATGGCAGATCTGTGTCAATACTCATATCTGAGATACACTGTACTCCCCATAAAACATTATGACAATAAAAATTTCAAAAAAATACAGGGAAGGTCAAAAATGCAACCCTGATCTCTCACCTTCTAAAGAATCAAAAAAGTTCAAGGCCTTAACTAGGTACAGCACAAGAGACCACAGAAAACAAAAGAGGAAAAGTCAGACAGCACAAGAACAAAGAACAAAGGCCACACGAGATGAACCACACAGGACACAACATAAGCCAACATATCCCTGGGAACATTTCCTCCACCTGGAGCCTCTACCTAAAAATTTGAGTGTTGATAAAAAAAAAATTGTTTACGCAGAACAAGAGGTAGAAGGTAATTTTGAAGAAAAAAAAGCAAAGAAAGAAAGAAAGCATTAAAATTTCAAATGATAAAAAGTACCTCAAAAAATGTTTTTCAAAGAACAGTACCAAGTAAACGTACCGAAAAAAAAAGTATTGACAAAAAAAACACGCTCTTGTGTCTTCTTTAAAGAAGTATGTGAATAAATGAATGATTTAATGAACAAATGAAGATGATGGTAAAAGTAAAAGAAAAGGTATAGAATGGAAGTACTTGACAGACATAATATTTAGGTACATCAACAACACCAAGATGCATCATACAAAAACTGACAGCTAGAAGGTAACAAAAGTTCCTTACATAATATTTGACACTACTAAAAGCTCAAGAAACATTTCCATCAAGCGACAGGACAACAATGCAACATCCATACAAAGAGTATTTCATCTATTTACGAGACTAGGAACAAGAATGCAACTACAAGTCACAGCACAAACTGAGAGGAGGGAGAGAGGAACACAAATTAGTATCAACCATGGAGAAATACATAGAGAAGAGAATGAGTACTAGGATCATGCTTGAACCACAAACACATGTGGACACACACACATGCGCGTACACACATGCGTGTACACACATGCGCGCGTGTGCGCATATCCACACACACACACACACACACA